TCAACACAGGTCGGTCTACCAACCATGAACCGGTCGGTCAGACGAACGGTCGAAGATCGAACGAATGATATCGCGCGCAAAACGACGGAACAAACCACAATCAAAGCTCTTCCTCATCTCGCCTGAGACAATTATTCTTTGGACATATTACACATATAAGAAACAGCGATCCCGAACACTTAAATAAAACCCACTACACCGACATCATCAATCTCAGAAATCGCGGCCACCAAGACACAATTCTACTTAGAGGACATCATAAGATGAGAAACTGGATTGCCATGTATCGTTACAGTAAGATTTCGTACGCGCTTTATATCAGCGTCAAAAACTGACGTACTTTCCGTTTTCGTTCATGCCCGCATTGACTGAAATTTAGCAAATTACAAGCTCAAAAGAGAATGCTATAATTGTTTAAATTCTATAATTCATCACTCTAACAAGAATTTCTTGTTTGTACTAAAATCTGCTATGAAATTCCGATATAAAATGTAATTGCTACTATTGAACCTATGAATTTTACTGTGCTGCATTTGATTAAAGCCCTTCGTCTGTAAGGCAATGCGTTAAGGTAACGGATTTTCCAGTAAACTAGAGTGGAAACGACTTCTTAAAATAGAGAATCAATCAAACTTTTCTCCACTGGTTAATATGCAGGATGAAGAGCACTTCAGCAACCCAATGACACACTGCCAATTATCAGTTATTGTTCAGCAATCACCTTCGCCATTGTCTGATATAGATTTTTGAACTGCAGCTGCTAGATGTTGAGGGAACCCTGCTGTCTTGCATGCAGTTTCAGAAAGTTAAAAAATTTGCAATGTACATGTCAAATTCTTTCTGCGTGGATCTGCTTAATGTCACGTTATGCTTAGGATTTTCCACAAAATTCCATACTTTTTTGCACATGTACTGCAGGTTGTTTAATGCCACTGATTACGCTGATGTACTGCTGCTGCCATTAGCTAGTCTTCATTGAATGCTAATCTTGGAAATAATTTGAAACACATGCAATCAGCAATATTTAAAGTCTAACGTAGCTTGCAAGTTTTCATTCTTAAATTTTATGCACTTCAAGCATTTATTTTCATGAATTAGTTGCTCTTCATCAAATTTTATTGTGAATATTGCATCCAGTTCTATATCGCAGAGCAGGCCAGTGCCTTTCAACAATTCGTTCAATAATGTTTATTGTTTCATGCGTTAGCTATTATAACTATGGCCTACAACAGATATTTTGTGTGACATTGACTTGGCCTTTTCTTTATATGCTCTAGGTGTTGTGAACTCAATTTGTATGATATTGGTTTCTTCATTCTGCTTGTTTTCGTTTCAACACGTTGCAGTTGGAATGCAGCGGCGGCCTTAAGGAAGAAACAAGCTTCCGTTACCCAAGGACCTTTATTTTTAGAATCTAACTCATTATGGGAGTTTTGCTTTCTATATTCAAGAAACGTAATGCGATCCATTATCAAAATAAAACGGTGATGACAAATAATTTTTTTCAGCCAAGCTTCGTTTGCCATTGCATGGAAGTACAATGCTTTGCGAAAGTCTGTTTTAGACCCTCGGTAATAGTTGCAATGGTTCAGTAAAACTCAAGCCTATTCCAATTGAGCAAAAACGTACCATTTCGTTGGAAGCAGAGCTCAAGTTTATCTTCTAATTATTACTTATGCTTGCTTTATTTCTCCAGTAATTAAAATTCTTATTTTTAAATCATGATCAAAGTTTAATGTTAATAGAAAATATTACTTATTCTTCAGTTTTGTTATTACAGATTGTTATTGTTGCTAATC